CCTAGATAGGGCTATATGGTAAGCTCCTATGGAAACACAATCCAGAACACCCGTTCTGACCACAATTGCACCTCTTGAACGTATTCAGTTGATCTTCTAATATACAGCATTGAAACTGGAAATTTAGTAGCTCCATAATGGAGATTTAGCCACCTCAGTATTTACAATTAGTTGCTTAATACCATAGCAAAATCGGGAGTTATAAGTACTAGTTCCATGACACTCTCAGGTTCCTCTAATGGGAGACTAAAATACAGGATTCCTAGCTACCAATTCCAACTCAATCCTCTAATCAGGCATCCCCCCCCCCCCAAAGAACATCCTTATTTCCTAATCGTGGGGTGCGCGATAGACTCCTACTCATGCGGCAAAAATTCCTTTATTCGGCAGTTGACTTCAAGCTATCATGACCAGACTGTGTGTTAAATTATACCACTTCCACAGTATCCACTTCACTGTACCTTTTTCTCTACCTTTGTGTCTGTCTTTTTACATTTGCAAACCACTCTTCTGTCCTCCCTCCCCCCCCCCCCCAACTCTCGACTTTTTATCGCTTTGATGTTTCTTCTCCTCTATGAAGCCAGAAGTCAACTAAAGGGCAAATGTTAACTATCATAAAGATTGCCATTTGATATAAATAACTAAATGGACCGTACCGCGTGCTTTCAGTCATAAGTGCACAAACTCCGCAATACTTCAAATAGCACGCTGCACTTTTGTTCCCCAGTGGATTGCCATTAAAGTGCTTTTATGGCCGCGACTGGACCAAAAAGCCAACACAACACGCCTAGACAAACAAACAGACAAGCAGAGAGATGATGTCAAGCGTCACGTGACCGGACCTGCCCCTATTAAGTGGAGCGACGTGGTAGACAAAGTGGGATAGGACGGAAAAAATAGGTCGATTTTTCTCATTTCCAGGTGAAGCAGAAGATGTGGGTTTTAACAAGCGCAGTAGAAACCAAGTTTGAGGTGATGCAGGAATTTCGCAAACTTGTTTTATTTATAACCCACATAAATATCGGAGAGACGCAAGTAGGATTTCAGGTCCACATTTTAAGCTTCTACTACTTAATACATCAATCTTTAACGGAATCGACATTTTTCAACCTTACGTCACAGACTAATACTTGCTGAAACAATGCCACAAAACGCAACTATTTTTCAGCAAAAGTTAATTTCTTCCATTGGGGTGTGGGATAGACTTACCCCCTCGTGGTGCACCCTGGGCAACGTATACTTATACGGCAAAAATTATATTAACTGGCAGTTGACTTCTCACTTCAAACTACCCCGTCAATTACCTGGCAGTTGACTTCAAACTACCATGATCCCCAGTTGACTTCTAACTTCAAACTACCCTCACCCCACTGTAAGTCATATTCGACTACTTTCACTGTACTCACCTCACCCATTTTTCTACCTTTGTGTCCGTCTGTCTCTTTTACGTCTGTGAATCATTATTCTGTCCCCCTCTCGACTTTTTGCCACTTTGATGTTCCTCTTCCTTTCTGTGAAGCCCGAAGTCAACCAAAGGGCTAATGATACCTATCACAACGCCTGCCATTTGAAATAAATAATCTCTTCCATTCAGTTAGAAAATAGAATTTACCAACGTCTATTGATTGAAGTAGCCGGCATCGTGGATCTTGAAAACAGCTTACTTCAGGTCAAAAGAATGGAATCCTACTTGTCAAATATTCCATATTTTACAGTGATTAGGAACCTTCTGCCCTGTTATTCAACTCAAGTCGTGAAGAATTCCACTAACCCTTAAAAGTGGAACATCTCTGGTTTCACCTAAAAAAGAGTCAGCAGAGCCACCTTTTTAAAGAATTGCAGTTTTTTTATTAAAGCCATTAACTAACACCGCATTTACTTTGAAATTGTCAGTAAGCAACTAGTGAATGGCAAAATGAGGAAAGAAATTGAAATTTTAAAATAAAAGCCATCCTTCATAATGGCTCTTATAAAATTCTCAAATTGATCAATGAACTTTATTGGTATTGGTTAGCAAATCACAAGAATTGAAGAATGAAAATGAATATAGGCAAGGAAAACCTTTCTCCTTTAAAACCGTTAAAACACCCACAGCTCAACCATGCCATTTGAACAATTTCAGATGTAGGAAAATGCTGATAAACAAACACTGTCGTTCACCGCTAAACACCAGAAAATTTCGTAAATCTACTTAACAAATTTTAATCCAAAACTAAGTTAAAATGACAAAAATAATTAACCAATAAATGGGCGTATATAAAAATATCAAATTTCATTTAAAAGCGACAATCACAGCGTTTTGTTGCACCGCGAAAAAATTATCTGGACGCTAATTGGCTACAAACCATCCAATAAAAAAGGACAAGAAAAAGGTAATTTTCGTTAATAGCAATATATCAGCAGATCGAATGTACCGAATGCTAAAAGAAATCGTGTATAATTGATTCGAAATCATCTAAACCAAATGGGCCAAGCTCGAATGCGGTTAGGTTGAGCGAAATCGTTTTAGCGACTTGATCATAGTGGTAGATTAGCAAGTTCTAAAGTACAGCAAACCTTTATTATATCTTGTCAGTCGGGATATGTGATTTTCAGTGGATCAAGCAGAGAGAATGCGGGGACTGATTGCTCGGAAGCAAGTCGTGGTGGAACTGCGTTAATTGGAGAAAATTCCATTGAGTGCATGAAATTCGTTTGCTTTTACACTATCTCAAACTCTATGTCATCATCAGTAGCAATAAATGGAGTTGTAGAAGGAAGAAATTTAGAAGAAGCAGGTACAACCAAAAATTGAGTAGAATTTTTAGATGAATCAAGACTGCTTGCTTTAAAATTGGGAGGTATCTTGGTCACAATTTTTGTAGAAAGGAATAAGTTGCCAAAACTTGCCCTAAGTTGGGAAAGCGAAGACTATGACCTTGGCATTGCAAATTGGCAGAGGATGGTAGAGATGTGTTCGAAACCGTTACAGCCCAATTAACAAATTTATCAAGATAGCAACAAATCCCAGAAAACAATAACAACATAAAATCACCAAGATTCAACGCACGAACGATCCTTTAACTGTGCCCCACATTAACAATACAAGGTTAAGTAACAGTAAAAATTTGATTTATTTCCCCTTGGATAAAAAAAATTAATAATTTGCAAAGCAGAAATACAGAGCATGCCTTTAACCTTGATGGACCACAATAAATGGGAACGCAATTTAGAAATATTTATTAAAACTACTTTAAGAGACCGAATAGATCAAACCTTAACAAAATACGGACAAGGAAATAAGAAATATAAATATATATGTGTTAGATCACCGTAAGAAATGAGGGCGTTTTTTTTAAAGAACATTCCTTTGAGAAGACCAGAGTGAGAGACTGAGAAGGTACTGTACATAGTTCCAAATAGTAAGTACCCCCCCCCCCACCCCCCCACCCCAATGATCCAAAAGAGAACACATCTGATTTAGCGCACCCCCTTTAATATTATGCCAGCTATAACTGCTAGGCGCAATTGATGACAAGGTTACTTGCCATGCAGTCCAACACTATTGGCCGCTGTCTTATAAGTGTGGGGAGGTGGGGTGGAATTAAAAATTTGTTCCAAGAAAATGATGACCTTATACAAATGTGACAAACTGAAACCAAGGGGAAATGAGGATAGATTGAAAGCGGGAAATCGTACAAAAAATAGGCAGGACAATAGGAGAAATCAATTGAAAACTGAAGTGAAACTGAATACCGCTTTAGTTGAGTGACCTCAATTTTGTTAATAATTAATGAGAGTTGGGGAGTATGCGAAAAGTGGGATTTGGTATTCACTTCCAACGTCAATCTACCACACTACAATAGGGTAAGTCAATTTCACTTATATGGGCATATTTTAATCTTCTTTTTTTTGTTAACAATGGACTCTAACAGTAAATAATTGTCTAGGGAAGGTTTCCACCGCATAAAATTTGTTGTCGATTGTAATCATTAACGATTAGATCAAAAAAATGCCATTTTCGACGTAGCATATGTACTAGAATGGTGGACAATGGGGAAAATCGTTTTGAAACGGTAGAGAGCTTCAGACTGGGGGGGGGGGGGNGGGGGGGGGGGGGGTGGGGTGGGGTCATTTACAAGAGAACATATTACACGCAAAGTATTTCAATTCAAGAGTTGTCTCAAGTTTCAGTAATGAAATTAAGAGAGGCAACATTTACAAAGTTTCGAAATTGGAGTGTTTGAGAATAATAAGGAACAAAACTAGTGCCAACTGTATATCACACCGTTTTTTTTCCATTGAAATTAGAGTGAGTTAGGGAGTGAGTAAGGTAGGGAGACTATTGGCAGGGGGATGATTTTCTACTAATTTACTAAAATTCTTCTTTAGTCGTAATCCCTAGTGAAAAAATATATGCTACGACTCATTTCACAACTGCTTCGTGTCATTTAAAAGTACATCTGCACTCTTGCTTCACTCGCGCGCTTGTCAAGGGACTAGATGGGGGAAAAATCCCTTCCATTTCCACTTCCACTTGTACACAAGTAGACACACTCCTGTCGGTGATCTCCTTGTACGTTCCTCCAATCCCCTCCTCCCTTATTCCCTCGATTTCTCATGGTGGATTATTCAATAGGCTTCCGCCAGCACACATTTTTGTGACCTACTACTTCTTAGAAGGATCGGTGACCTCGGTTTCTGTTACTCCAATGGCATCAATTCAAACTTATGGATCAAATGAAAGAGTTTGAGCTAAGGAAACTTGAGTCATGATGCCCTGAACTAGTGATAAGAAATCCAGAATTCAAATGAAATAAGATCCTGCAAACACCCGATTTGATCCTCAACTTCTTGGCTTCCTTCTATTCTCACATTTCATTTGCATTATTTCCGTTTTATTCGCGTTTAGATATACCTTCTAACGAATATGCCTTAAAATTGACAGGCCCATTATTGACACGATTTGCTTTGGACAACTGGTGTTGATAGTCTTCCATAAGGTATTTTGGCACTGGATACTAACCACACGCGAGTCCATGGGTTCCAAACCCTGGGTGAGATCTTGATGACTTGAGCAATTGAATGAACGGTAGTATTAACCCCCCCCCCCCACCACCACCCCCTTCCTCCTCCGCCTCTTGATTAAAAGCGTCATAGGGGCAGGAGAAGAGTATTCCACCACACACACAAATACTTACCTGCAGTTTTGCACGAGCCTTCTCAAACGATGACATTCCATCCACTGTGTCCTGATCTTGGGTGAAGAAACGCACAGCCTCTGAAGCTCCCCAATCGAAGATATTGCCAGTAAGGAATCCTTGAGCCAATTCCATTTGTCTCTCCTCCCAACTCAAACTATCAAGATGCGCCATCAATCCGGGGAAAAATGACAAGGACCAGGTATTCTCGAGCTAAAAGAGGAAAGGATTTAGCATTTTCTGAATTCCAAATCCCACCTTCTTTTGCACGCAGAAAGCATCGGGGAAGCCGAACTCTCTCAAGAGATGCTGTTGAGCTTCAAGAATACTCCGCACCGTCAAAAGACCTCTTCCACTGGGTCTGTCACTTAATTCCGAGAGGAAGTTAACGTATCTTTCGGCAAAACGCTGGGCTCTCTCCTTGGAGTCATTGGGTGCATTGCTCTCGGCTTGACTTTCTTCAGCCTTCTTCCTCAAGCGCTCAACTCCTTGCTAGGCAGGCAATAAGACAGCTAAATTAGAAAGAAGCCAAACCCTACCTTGAAACACTCAAGCCAATAGGCTCGAGCCTTGTTGTCTTGAGTGAGGTCCCATGTATCAGGTACATAATCAGCAGGGGAAAGGAGTAATGGGAACGGTTCGAGGGACATATCTCCAAGGTGTTCAAGCTCAAATTCCGAGAGAGTGAGACCATCCACAGAGGGTGGCAACGTCCGAGAAGTTTTTCGTCCGACAATCGACGTGGCATAATTCTCCGACCAACATTTTGAAGCATAGCGTTCTCTTTGGAATAGCTGAAAATTTGGAGAAGGTGGTGATACCACTTCCTCCGCGTCCGTTTTATTCAAAGCTGAGCATTTTCGCACTTTACATGCCTTCGTGAAGGCACCAACAACACCAAGGTAACCTTCATGGCGAAGGAACATGGCTTTCATTTCACCGTTGGACCAGTATTTGACGGCAAATGAAATCACCTGGAAAGGTAAATTTTGTAAATGACACTACTTATTAATATTAAATAGCGTAGTACTTCTATTAACCTCCATAGTGAGACGATGGCCACGAATAAAGAAACCACCGAAAAGAATTTGACGAACACCGTTTTGAAGAGCGTAGAGGCAGGCCAATTGTCCGATATTACTTAAGGAAAGAAAAAAAGGAAAAGACATGAAGGTTTACGTCATATTCTGAACATAGAAAATTGGGTTATTTAGGTAGAGACACAATATTAGCCCAGTTAAGGTGCAATGCATTTGTGGTAAAAAAAAGATATGCCATATATTGCCTACTTGCTAATTGCGACAAGAAGTGCCTTGACCATGTCTGCTGGTCGACGTGTCTCGTTGGGTCTACGAGCGGCCAGACCAAAGGAACTGGCGATGACGTCACCAGAGAGGCCTAGGGATTCATACGCGCCACCATAGATGTCCTTGACCAGCATATCAACTTCTCGATGATCACCCTTGTCAGCAAGAGCCAGCAATTCATCAAACGTATTTTGACCTAAAATGTGATGCAAGGGTCATTTAAATAAACCTCATATACCAATATTTCACATACTGCGAATAGCGGGAAGTATGTGTCCATTAGAGTAATTACATAATAAAATTGGGATATTCGTATTGAATTTTACGATAACTCCGATCTTACATACACAGAGCTTGATCAACTTATTTATTTAAACCAAATGGCAGGCGTTTTGATATAGTTATCAATAGCCCTTTAGTTGACTTCGGGTTTCACAGAGGGGAGGAGGAATATCAAAGTGAAAAAAGTCGTGAGGGGGTGGGGAACAGAAGAGTGTTTCAAAGTTATAAAAGACACAGACACAAAGATGGAGAGTAGGGTAAGGCGAGTACTGTGAAAGTGGCGGAATATGGCATACAATGGGGTCATGGTAGATTGAAGTCAGAAGTCGAATGCCAGTTTATAGACTTTTTTGCCGTATGAGTAAACGTTGCCCAGGGTGCACCACGTGGAGGTGAGTCTATTGCACACCCCAGTTTGATCAACTTAAACTACCACAAAAAGCTGACCATGTGACATTTCGAGGTTCTTTTGGCCCGAGTGAAAGTTTGTTTATGTTGGCGCCAAAACAGTTGCATGCTTAGCAAAACTGATCAAGAGTGAAAAGTAAAACGCGCCAAAATAAAGACCAATTTACAAGTCAATAAAATTATAAATAAAATTTGTTGCGTGAGAACCAAAAGCGCCAAAGAAGATGGAAAAGGGAGCTCTCCCACTTGGCAACATCCAAATGCCCCCGCCAGGTGACAATTTTCGGAAAGACATTTAAAGTAATCCCAAATTACTGGTACATAATTTGAGGTGAATAGCAAACTAAACTCAAGGTCAGGACGTCTTTATGCACCGCTGTCATTGGTTAATAGAACGGATAATTATGAAGACGGAAGAAAAAAGAAGGAAATGGCCATTTTGGTCAAATTAGTATCTAGAATTTAACGCACCACTTTTCTCCATCAGTCAAGTCACAATCATAAAAACAGGGGAAAGTTTGCTGATTTGACAACAGAAAGGTTTCTTGAAATTGATAGAACAATTTGCCAAGCATCTGATGAACCGGAATCCTGGAGAGGCAAACAATTTCATCCATAAATTGAATCCTGACAACCTCGTAACATTATTATTATTTCAAATGACAGGCTTTATGATATTTATCATTACCCCTTAAACTTTGACTTCAGCTTTCCCCATGGGTGGGGGGAGGGGTACATGTATAGCGGTTAATTAATAGCAGTTCATTAGCTGTCTTCTTGCTTCCCAGTATCTCTGGCTTTCCGTCGTTGTTTTTAAGGCTGGACACCGATTTAGGTGGGTCTTCTCCATTTCCTCCTGTAGGTTACATAGGAGGCAGGTGGGTGGAGTGTATACTCCCAATCTGTGAAGGTGCCTCGCCAGGCAATCGTGTCCGGTACGTAGTCTAAACTCAGCAACGGCTCCGATTCTTGGCCAGTCGGCTATGTCGGAGAGTGCCACCTCGCAACATGGATCAATGGAATTTCACCATAAACCAGAAGCTGATCCTATCCCCAATAGCGACTGTGATCAAGGCCTTTTTCTTTAAAAGATCTACCTAACATCCCATCAGGGGAAGGAGGTAGACGCCTACGTTTTACGGTTGCTGACCACGAAATAAGTTCGTCCAAAGGAAGTGGGTAAACTCGAATACGAAGATACCCTCACCACCATCCCCCCTCATGATAAAGCGCACTATTGACAAGATTTTACCCACAGGTGACACATCTGTACCGTCGGTGAAAAGACCAAGAATTAAAGAACCGAGGTTATTTAATGAAAAAGAAATAAGAATGCAGGACGAGAACGCAGTGGTGGTGGTTTCAATTCTCTCAGTTCTTTCACATCCAACCATTTAGACAGAAGCTCATACGTCGATAGTATGCAACTTTAGCGATTAGTAGTAGCAAGAAAGTCAGTTAGAGACTAGGTACTGACCTCCACATCAATTTGACCTCTAGAAACAGCAAAACACCTCAGCTATTCCAGTGCTGAAACGCGCGTGATGCTTTGAAAGTGGAAGGTGAACTAGGCTGTCAAGTCTCTTATAGGTAATTAGATTAGTGCAAAAAAGAAAATTTTGCCAACAACTCAACCTGAGTTGGAGCTGCTTATGGTTCTCAATTGACAAATGAATTGAAGTTGGCGATGTTGGTTGCCCACTACCTTGAAGAAAAATAATTTATCACTCAGATGTCGGAATTGTGAATCAGCTCGATGAGAATCTGAAAGATCACAAGAAAAAATTCACCAAGGCACTAATGGCATATGTTAGACCTATTGACGATCAACCGATATTAATCAAACAACCTTCCTCGGAATTTAGAGATGACCTAGGTAGATGCTTGAAAAAGAAGAAAAAACTGAAATCAGTTTACATATGAAGCGCCCAGTTCCAACCTCAGGAAAAACAAACAGTAGATGAAGCGTTACAGTGCCTTTAAAGATAGGCATCTTACTCATATTGATTGAATGAAAAGAAGAGCAGAGTACATTTAAGTGCAGATACTTCCACAGATCTAAAAGTAACTCTTCCGGGTGCTGAAATTTTATTTTCAATTCATAACGGTGAAACGTGTTTGGCGAAGTTGGATTAAGCAGAGGCTAATCTGATAATCGAGGCACAACCATAGTGTCTTGAATAGCTGGCAATAGTAAGGTTTGCATCAATTGACTAGGCTCCAGTTCGAAGTGGAAACAGTCCTTTCTATCCTCTAGCAAGCAACAGACAATATGATTAGTTGCCTAAAGGACTCGAATGAGTGTCTATGTTAGAAGCTGTCTCTTGAAATGAATATAAATTGCATTCTGATCGACTCTAGCAAAAATTATTTCCTTAGTCATCAGAAAAGATAAGAGAATTTGTGAAAACGAAATTAACATCTTCATGCATAAAAGGGAAATTGGTGGAGCGATTTCGACGATTGAGCAAAATTCCTCTATAAATGCACTCTAATCATTCAGGAATAAAAATAGAACACGAGTCCACTTGGCAAATGTTGAAATGTTGCTAGAAGTCCTCTAATTGGAAGCCAATGACTTGGTCTCCACAAACTGCACCTTGGAGAGGGCACATGCTGATTTTGCTGATCCTATGAATGGCGTTGCCCAGTTATTCTTGATAGGCACAAACACTCCAAGTGCTGCCAACAAATACTGCAACATCAACATTCTTGACTCCACCACAACAGACATGGCTTGCCTTAAATTCTGGTGTCAGACAATGCAACACAGTTCCACTAGTTGGACATCGAAGAATACTGCAGACAAAGAAAAAAATCAATTTTGTAGGCTCCATATCACGCACTACAAATAGCCAGACTGAGCGATATGTCCTCATATGCACTAGGTCCATGTTAAAAGGGAAATAGGAGGAGGTAACTGACTTATAGAAAGACCCTTCGTACGGTGGTGGTTAGTAAATCGACTGTAGAAAAAGTAGAGTGATGAACGGCTCGAACAAACAACCATTCCTTACTACCAAATAAACAAGACATTTGGACTAGCGAAATCATGAAAGAGGCATGTTCCCTATCGGCAATCATGTAGTGGATGATATTAGCGAATGGATGGTTGAGCGTACGCTCAAGTGACAGATAAATGCCACAAATGGAACGTAAGTAAGCGAAATTGTTTTGGAACAAGAATAAGCCAATTGAGGCCACCTATTGCGGGAACCAAATCAACACCAGCAACGACTCCACTGGATCTCCTGTGCTGTATGCTTTCAAACACACCCACAGCAAGTAACACGAATAAGGCAATGAGAAAGACTTATTGAGATACCAAAAGACACCACATGAGAACTCTTTATACCCCCTAAAGTTATTTTCTACTCAGGCTATTGAATAAGACACAATTACTAAAATTAGGAGTCCTTTTGATCCCAATTACACCAATGGCACAGTCACTATTCCTACACTGTAGGGTAGATACTCTAAGCAAGGTTACGACTCATATGGGCATATAATTTGGCACAGAGGATTACCAAGAGTGCATACGTACTTAACGCCTAATATTGCCAAAAGTTCTTTCCTTGCCAATGATTAATTTGTAAAAAAGGCATTCTGAAATAAACGCCAATTCACCGCTTGCACAAAAGAGCAGAGTCCTTAGTTAGACTTGCAAAGTAATTAGAAAAGACGTTATTTGGAGATAACGTGGAGACCAGAACATGCAAATTTATTAAATGGCTGCATATTTGAGGCTAATCAATCAACAAAAACACATCAAAACTGAGCTCATAAGTCGTTCCCCTTCTTCCCTCTCCCCACCCACCCCCCCCCACCCTCCCTTCTCTTAACACGGAAAAGCTTTCGATTCTTGAGTATCAACGGTAACATAGACACCAAACACAAGTTGTGAATTATGCGAAATTTGAACCAATTGGCATTCAGTGGTGCAGGCAGTTTATTGTCAAAAAACAAATCCCATTTCATCAAAAAAAAATGTGAATAAATGCTTAACTCGGTAAAAAAAAATATATCCTAGACTCGCAACCAGACAACTTAACTTCAAGTTGATTAAAAGGTGACTCCATAAGTCTCACAAGTGTGCTTACGGATACATCAAGATGTCTGCCCTCCCCCAAATGAAATTCAAGTGCAAAGATGATATTTAATACTCGCCTAGATGCAAAGAAGTCCAATGTGGCATTTTAATTACCATTAAAAAACACGAGGTGTTGCGCTTAATCTGCATATGTTTAATTTTAAATAAAAAAAAAAAGAAATTCACCAATAATTAACTTATCTAATAATTACTGAAGTTAGTATTTAACAGCGCGACCATTGTATAACAACGCTAGACGACTAATTTCAATAGAAGCCATCCCCCCCTCCCCCCTCCCCCCTCCCCCAAATATTTCAAGTCCACACCTCAAATGCGTGTAGGGCGACATAACTG